TTTTGTCAATGTCTTTATAATGTGTCGATGTTGATCGCGTTAATTATTTCGATATCCTCAATACATATGTAATCGTCTAACATTTAAGACAATGCAAACGCGTCCGATGGCAATCATTGCAGGAGGTCGCGTATGATCGTTGCAATGTATGCCTGGAGTCGTATACAAACGAGACAAAATGTCACTCAAAGACAACTACANACAATTATTTTCATGTTTTCATTTTGTCAATGTCTTTATAATGTGTCGATGTTGATCGCGTTAATTATTTCGATATCCTCAATACATATGTAATCGTCTAACATTTAAGACAATGCAAACGCGTCCGATGGCAATCATTGCAGGAGGTCGCGTATGATCGTTGCAATGTATGCCTGGAGTCGTATACAAACGAGACAAAATGTCACTCAAAGACAACTACATAGCTCGCCTGGATTTTATTCGATGCACACTGCACTTCTGAACATTTCTTCCATCTGTGCTTTTCTATTTTGCTTCTATTAGTCAATTACGAACATGTCGAGATGAATAAGAATGGGTCGACTTCGAAATTCAGCGAAGAACAATGAGAGCGAGATATAACAATTAGCATTCAAGGCAAACTTTAAAATAAAGAACGACAGTCGGTAGAAATTCTATACGGTTAAATGATTCGAACATGAATGAAAGATAATCATCGATATACTTCAATGATATCCACTGATATTAACAGGTCAATAGATCTCAAAAGTTTTCCTTTTGTCTTCGTATCTGACACTATCTACTCAAAGATGATCATATCAGAAGATTAATTCTTTTCTCGAAACCTTCCGTACTTCTTCTATTTCAAGAATAGCAGCATTACGTCATCGCCATTCACTGACTGACATACAATAGGAACATGATGTGTTAATAGATTCTATTGACGAGAAAAGTGAGCTTGATATTCCTAGAGAAGATACTTTGATTAAGAATGAATGCGAGAGATTAGCTATTGTCTTTGAGAGTTAACCTTACAGATAGGAGAAAGGCAGTTGCATCTTATCAACGGAGAAGAATGGATGATCGTATTCGATTAAAACGAAGACTTGATCGGTACCATCAATCTTAACATGTGATATTGTATTGAGGAAAATAATGGATTATCGACCTTATTCGATAGGCAGAGCCTTGAGAGAAATGAATAAACCATACGTAATCAAGAAGTTTTGTTCGCGCAAAGTTATTTTTCATAGGCAATTGTCAATTAAATCTCTCGTGTTTGTTGTGCAAAGATTGAAGATTAAGTGATAACATCGACACACTGATTTTATTTATATATATAGAATACAAGATAGTAGACAATGAATAAAAGAAGGAGAAAAGAAAGGTAGCTGATGTTTCTAGAGCGAAAATCCACATAAAAGATTTGTCGATTGAAAGAAAGAGAAAAAAAAAAATTAGGAATGTGTTTTATATGTGTGCGTGTGTATACGAATCGAAAATTGACGTTTGACGAGAAGATCTCCTGACTAGTCATATCTCCTCGTCGACTTTTGTTTCGGACTTTTCTTTTAATTAATCAATCATCATTCAGACACTCGTCGTTTGATAATACAGAAAGAGATTCTCATCCGAAAACACACCCAAAAGACAAATGTTGTTGTTGTTGTTAATATAAAAGGAAAGAAAAAAAAAAGGAAACGTGTTACATTGAAACGAAAGAAAAGAAAACGTGTGGGCTGTTTTTAAAACATCATGTTCATTCACTTTTGTTCATCATCAACATCTTGCACTTCGTTATGTGCGTTATCATTATCACCAGGCATATCCGTTGTCCATAATGTGAGATTGTCACGTAGAAGTTGCATAATCAATGTTGAATCTAAATTTAGAGCGAAACTTGCCTTTTTCCCTATCCAAATCAAATTCGATTCAAACCTTTGTATGTATCTTCATTGAGTGTATCCAATTCAGCAATGGCATCATCGAAAGCCTTAGAAAAGATGAAGGTTGATTACGAAAAGGAATATTTCGACAAAATACACATACTTGTTTAGCCAATCGACAGGCACGTTCAGGTGTATTGAGAATTTCATAATAGAATACCGAGAAGTTCAAAGCTAGACCAAGACGGATGGGATGTGTTGGTGGCAATTCGTTTTGTGCGATATCGTTGGCTTTCGTGTAGGCTACGAGCGAGTTCTCTGCAGCTTCTTTGCGATCCTCTTGGGTGGCGAATTCGGCTTTGTATCGGTGATAATCACCTTTCATTTTCAAATAAAAAACTTTGCTTTCACCGGATGCTGCATTCGGTAAAAGATTCTTATCGAGTAAATCAAGAATATCTTGACAAATATCACGTAATTCTTTTTCGACCTACAAAACGACATTCGTCGAGAACAAAGACATTCAGGCCAATGACAACTGACCTGAGAACGATATTTCTTTATCATAGCCATTTTACTATTTTCCGATTTGTTTTCTTCTTTGCTTTCGATGTTAGTAATGATACGCCATGATGCACGGCGTGCTCCAATTAGATTCTTATAGGCCACGGAAAGTAAATTTCGTTCTTCAACGGTCAATTCTTGATCCATTTTAGCGACCTTTTTCATGGATTCGACCATTTCTAAACAACAAACCAATTCGACATCTTTGTTAATTAAATTAACTTTTTTACCTTCATATCGTTCGGCTTGTTCAGCCAATTTAGCTTGATAAACATCATCATCACGTGAGGCAGGCATGGTATCGGATAATTCAATAAGTTTATACTAAAGAAACAAATCAGACGAGTGTTTTGTATGTGCAGAGAAGAAAAAACGAATAAACAAAGAATCCTAGTTGTCGACTAACGACCATATTGTCTCGTTGAACGATTCACTCATGCTGAATTTAATAATGAGGCAGAGATATGAAATTTTTAAATATATTTTTTCCAAGCCGATATTTATCACATTCGATAAGAAACTAACGGAAAATTCATTTTCATTTCAATTGATTTCACTCACAGAGGACATCTGTAGATGTCAGGATTGATGAACGATGAGTCAAGCATGTTTTCTCCTTCTGAACATTAAATAAACATTCCCTTTCTAATTATTCGCTAAACATTTTCACATCTTGAAACGTCATTGAAGATCCTGACGGACTCTCTGTTACCTTTTCGATTGATACAATCAGACGTCATTCGAAACAAAGACTGTATCGTCTTACATGACGTCATACGGCTATGAAATAGTTGGTCCTCGTGACAATGGCAATGTTCAAGTCTAATTTCGAATGATATTTATTATTTTTCTTTACATAGTCAAATCTAATCTTGAATCAATAAATCTCCTACTAACAAATGAATAGATGTGATGATAAAAGCAAAAGTGAAAGAAATTGGATTGAAGAGTTGTCTTTATAATTGACTAATAGACCATTTGCTGAGCCATGGGATTAAATAATGATAATGGATTGGAGAAATTACTTGTTGGCGTTGGAAGTGTTTGACCGGCTGCCATCATAGGCATACCGTTTGGAAGCATCCGACCTTGTTGCATCATTGGATGATATCCGAATGCCATACCTTGACGGGGAACAGGATACATGTAGTTTTGAGGAACGTATGATGACGGTGGCATTTGAACCGGTCGATACATAAGTTGTTGTTGAGCTTGCTGTGGCATCATACTCATTGACTGGGGTTGTTGCGGCGCAGATAACATCATCATTGGCACTGGCTGTTGTGCACCTGGTGCCATCGGTGACGATTGAATGTATTCAAAACTTGAATCCGATGAGAAACTTGGATTGTGTTCAAGAGCGTTGTGAACTAGAGCGGGTCGCCCGATCGAACCAGCGATTGATTGTGTATGATAGGGATTACCCGAAGCCATCATACCGTTGGAAAATGATGGTAACGCATTGCAGGGATTGCTGTAGGGTGAGCCTGGTTGGCTGAAACCGCTACGAACTGGTCGATCAACTTTGATTACTCTAGGAAAAAGTAGATGAATAGATCTATTTTTCGATGACTTGTGACGATAAAAATATATACCGTGTTCGAACAATTGGTGGCGGTGCTTCTTCGTGCATTTCTTTCTCGATAATGCGTGGTGGTGGTGTACGTGGTTGTTCAATAACACGCTCGACGATCTCTTGGGGCTGTGGCCGAATAATTACCTAAGATAGGCAAGCAGAGAAATGAATGAATATTTCAGTGTTCTACTACTTACGCGTTCCATGACAAGCGCTTCAGGTGTTGGAGCGCGTTCGACGACACGTTTAATGATCGGGGGCGGTGTTTGAGCGCGTACTACATCACGTGGACATTTCATTTCTCGTGTAATCATTCGTCCTCGATATTCATAACTGTCTGTACTCTCAGTATCTGATGAGAACGATTCCGGTGAATAGGAACTTTGACGGTCATCGTATGCATTCGGATAGCCAGCCGACATCAATGTTGGATCAACATTATAGCCAAGTGCAGCTCCACCATTCGGATAGGCAAAACGGTAGGACATATTTTCTTGTGCGTTAAACGCTTCGTATCAAATGAGAATAGATAGTGAAAGTGTTGTCTGCACTCACACATTTACTATCACCGATATGGTTGAGTGCATCGTCTAGCAGACCAATCAAAAGGACATATTGAATCAAAAAGAAAACGAGTGACAAGACGGGTCGATGACCTCGTTAATGGAAAATTTAAAATGAACCATTGAACTGGTCATTGTCTTTCGCTCTCTTGATCAATTTAATCAGCTCTTGAAACTGTCAATTAGTTTTGTATAACGAACCTCACGCTATACACATCTCCGCGCACAATTACCTCTCGCATATAACGATTGCTTATTGAATGCAGATTTTACTGTAGGCATGATAAATTACAGAAAACTAGATAATAATCATGAAGATTTATCTGTTTTTTGTTTATTTCGATTGAAGGAAAAAAAATATAGAAGGCCTCTGTTCATTGCTCACTCGATTTCTTTTTAATTATCAAAGGAAAAGGCAGAGGAGAGACAAAAAGTTGTTTGTTTTGCATTTTATTTGCCCAAGCCTGATGCGAATTTCGCCGATGCAAGACGTTTACCCAAACCAGAAGCGAATTTTGCATGTGCTAAACGTTTGCCGAGTCCACTGGCAAATTTCGCGTGCGCCAAGCGTTTGCCGAGACCACTGGCGAATTTCGCGTGCGCTAAGCGTTTGCCCAGACCACTGGCGAACTTAGCCGAAGCAAGGCGTTTATCCAAATTAGATACATCTTCTGAGCTGGTTATAATATCTACGGATTCGTCACTGTCCGAGTCAGATGTTGCATTGACAGTATTGAAATGAAAAAGAAACAGGACGGCGAGAAGACCAGTGAGAAGAATTAATTTTGTTTGCATGTCGATGATGATATATTGAATTGATCGTAAGACCTAAAATCAAACCAAACGAAATGATCGCCTAGTACATTCAATCGTTATGTAAAGATACGAAGAAAAACAAGTGAATTCTCCAGAGAAGACATGAAACAGAGAGGGAGGGAGTGATGATGATGTATGAGAAAAATGTATTCAAGTATTAACTAGTTCCTTGAAGGTTCTATATACTAGTCGCCGGAAAGAAAAACAGTTCATTGTTTTTCTTTTGATTTGTAAAGATGCTAATCATTCATTGAATATGTACGTCGTTATTCACGAAACACAATTTTCCTTGTTCTCCTTTTCTTTCTTTCTAAATATATATATACTCGATTGAAAACTGCTAAGGAAATAAGAAAAGAGATAAACTCGTTGAACGACTGATTTTGTACGTGTAAAAGAATATTAGAAATGGAAAATTAATGATGATTAATGGACAAACAGTGGAGGTGGTGATTGAAATAGTAGGCGAATCCTTTCATCTGTCGATTATACAAACATGCATCAGAACAACAAGAGAAGAAAACGCTTGTGCGGAATTAAATGAACTTCACATCTTTTCTACTAACTAGAAAAGGAAAATGTCAGAAAGAACGAGTATGGATGCATTCTTCATCTTTTATTCTCAACTTCAAGGAACACCGTCGAGCATCGTACATCGTATCATTGCATATGTCAACTACACAGTCTGATTGATCGTTCACAGAAAACTACTCGGTTGAGTTTTACATCGACAAAAGATCTCTCTTACTGCTGTTGCTTGACTTGAACAGAGATAATATCTCGAGATTTAATTGAACTCGTCTGATTTATTTAAGATCATATTAATCAAGTAGAAAATTGCGCAGAAGAAAGCGATAAAAAACCCTCGCTAAATGTCACTAAAGATTATTTACTGAATCGGAATGTTCTAACTGATTGAATTCATAATATTCAATGAAATCTTATCTGATTGACTAGATAACTTGCCAAAGAAGATGTACTATTCGTTTATATCCTCTATCGAAGGTGTCTTTTCTGCACTTTTTTCACCATAGATTATATTGTATCTCTATAATAGAAAATGTTGATTCTTCTTCTTTATTAAAGACTAAAAATAGAGAGAAAGGGCATTGGGAAATTTCCTAGAAATGTTTCTAGAGAATGAAAAATCATTTTGTCGTTTCACAGTTTTATGCTCAAAATGATATCTCTTGAAGGTGTACTTACTTCAATCAGTTGATTCTCTCCCCTACGAATGAATATATGTACTGTTCACGCATTTCACATTGGTCGTAATGACTAGACGATGTTCCAATGAAATGTGTGACGGAAAACGTTGAACATTATCTACAAGAACCGCACACTTTTACTTAACCATATTGAATATTTTTGCACGCAGTGTATAATTTTCATACGATAATCATCTTGACTATGACCAATATTGACTTTTTTTCTACTCGCTTATCGTCAGTTGTCAGGTATAGAAAGCCTCTCAGTCGTAGGCTTTCGAAAACATTCAACTTAACTCGTCATACAAACTACAAATTGACGTAAGAATGTGTCATGAAATTACACGGCAATCATTTCTTGCTTTTTTGTACATTGCAAACTATGACTTCCGCTATAGCCTACGAAAATCCCGATCATCGCATGCAATCATCAGATATGCTGATCTCGAAAAATCACCACATACGACAATGGCTAGTGATCGTTGGTATTGTGACAATTGGTTTGCTATTAGGTGTTATATTTATCCATTGCATTCTTCGATTACGTCGCTTTTACCGACTGATTGAACTTGATGAAGAAAAAGATTCATCTGCTTGTACGCAATATGAAAATGTTTAATCATATTTGTTTGTCTAATAAATATCTCGCTTATAGTCTGGAAAATTGTCATTGATTATATGCATGAAGAAATCCATGGTGATCATTTAAATGAATTATTACCTATATTTTTCTAATAGACCACATTCTTTTATTGTCCCATTTGACAAAAGCGAAATAATGACTTAGGGAATGTCTCGAAGGAATAAATCGCCTTTTCCGCTAGCTAATGACAAGCAAGTCTTTGTTATTAGTGTTGGTTTGCTCAATACTTCTCAAGAATGGATCGACTAATGTTCTTAATCAAGAATTGCATGAATAAATCTTTTGAATCGATTAGATGATACTGTTTTTTTATTTAAAAATATTCCTTTTGATAGAGAGTTCAAGATAAGAGAATATAGTGGAACCTTTTGCTTTTTTAATTGGATTCGGATTTGGTTAAATCATTGTTGATCATGGATGCTGACCGTTTCCAGAAATGACGATGGGGTGCACGTTTCCAAAAGCGTGATTTAGCAGCACGGGCATCGAGTTGATGAGACGAAGCGTAGCTATCTAAGTCAATCCAATCCATATGTGCAGGAACACGATCTTCTTGGTCAAGTGAGACACTCGATGAAAGTGTGACGCCAATGATAACAATGAAAAAACAGAGAATTGCGTTGAAGAAGATTGTTCGCATAGTGACTAAATAGAAAATGTTGAGCTGCAAACAAACGCCAATGAGAATAGACTTACTGAGTTTTTCAGAGATGGCAATCGAGTGATTGAAGCTGTATTGAATGATGATAAAATAGAAAATTTCATCGCTAAAAGTATCTCTCGACTTTCGATAGTTAATGATCTCTCGTTTTTTCTTTCTCTCTTTCTCATTATTTTTCTTCGTTTCAAGATTTCTTTGTCTCGATTCGCAAATCCATTAATCTATTCAAATCAAAGAAACTGTTTCCGTGTGGTATCCAATCGAAAGATATCCAAATCTAAACAAAGAACTTAGTTCAATCGAATTTCGACATCAAATATTCTTCAAGTATCTCCGACGTTCCTAAGTAATTTCTCGAACATTCATCGATAACTGTTTGTTGAATATGACTAACATCTATGACACTGTGAGTGCACATTTTATCAGCAATAATCATCTTTCGTATAATTATGTTTTTATGTCGCTAATTAACAACCAGATGATTAATGAAATTATATTTTCCCCTATTGGTTTTAACCAGAAAATCGTTGATCTGCCATCAGATAACGGAAATTCGTTTGTGCTGAAAGTATTTTTGATGCTCATCTCTTGCTCATTGAATGACTGATCGATCGCCCGAAGCGCTTTTCTATTGAAAGAAATTCATCCATATAAAACAAATGGTTCTATTCACACTTGATAACAGACATCATGATTTCTGCATATTGGCCATGCTGCAAGCAATCGAAACCCTTCAACTAACAGTTTTCATGACATTATCATTAAAAAGACGACTGTATATATTACCTGTATTGATTCGACATTTTTTTCATTTCAAGTTTTTTTTTCTCACACGCATCTCAACATACTTATTTGTCAAACTATGCAAGGCTATCTACCACAGCAACAATTCGCTGGTCTTCCAGCCCAAGTAAGTCAATCTCGAAATCAACTCTTGGCTTTATTATTAACTTTATCTAGTGTCAACAGTGTTTCTTAACACCTGGTTTTTCTCAACAACAACAGCAACCTTCGCCTTACGGCGCCTACAATCAATACTTTAACAATCCATACCAGCAGCAACCCTTCTTTTATCCTCAACAACAACCGCAATTTTCCTATTTTCCTCAACAACAGCAATATTCCTTCATCCCTCAACAACAGCAATATCCCTTCGTCCCTCAACAACAACAATATCCATTCTACGCTCAACAACAAGCGCAATTCTATCCGCAACAGCAGCCATTGTTCAATTGGCCTCAGAATTTTGCAGGCCAAAGCGCATATGGTTATCAACAATATTGGCCTCAACAACAGCAACGGGTTTTTGAAAATCCCAAAACGCCTATTCCATCACCTGCTCGTCGAGAAAAAGAGAAGCCAAAGAAGTTCTATGAACGGGTGTACTCATAGATATTTGCTTCACAATTGAAATAACACAATTTTCCTTCGATGCTAGCTTCATTTTTTTTTAAACTCATGTTGAAAACTTGCTAACTCGTTTCTTTAAATTCAAGAATAAAAAGACTTTTATGCAAATCACTTGATTTTGCCGTTTAATTGACTGTCAAGAGTTGTGCTCAAAAGTTCAGCTATGCCGGATTTTTCCTTCCTCTGATAACTCGTAAAAAGAAGGCGAAAATCAATTAGAATTCTGTCAATAAAATGTCATATGAAATATTCAAAAATAAATTTCTCCTCAGGTAACATAGTTAACAATCAAATGTGTTTCTTTCTTCTTCTTCTTCTTTGAATCAACATGACTAGATTTGATAATTAATCATTGATTAACTTTTTTCCCTTCCTGAAAAAAGAGAAGAAAAAAAAGAAAAAGAAATGTTCAAACAATACATTTTAAATGAAAGGTCAATCAAACAATAAGAAATGATTTTTCCAATGAATAATTCCATTACATGTCTGATTTGATATTCATTTCGACATGTTCAATTTCTTCATCTGTCTTTATCTTTTCCAAAAAAAAAGAAAGGAAAAAAAATCGAAGAATATTGAACAGTAATGAGCGCGCAAGAAAACAAAACGAGACAAAAATGACGATGACAAAAAACATGAATGAATGAATGAATAGCAAATAAAAATCAAGGAAAAAAGTAAATACAGAAGTCTATTTTCTTTGTCTCTCTCTCTCTCTGCTCTTCTCTTTTTCTTTATACTTCATGCACATACACCGGGGTATCTGCTCGTAGCCTAGTCGAATAAAAGAGAAATGAATGATAATCATGACGAGCAAGAGAGAGATTTCAAACAGCAAACATTTGAGGAATATAGAGATCCGATTCGTTCAAGGATTGGGACAAATCATCGAGAGCAACTAAGTTCGTATTCATAGATGATGAAGGATCAGCTGACATTACAGATGAATCAGGATTGCCATTGGTTGTATACATACTCGCATAGATGCGACGCTGAATTTAGAAGAAGACAAAAACAAATAGGCGATCGTGTGAGAAAACTTTGATTTACCTTCTTTGCTTCATTCTCCATCACTTCGTATGGGTCTGCGTAATGTACATTCGAGTTAGCGGGTGTTCCATACATATGATAATGTTGTTGTTGATGATGCTGTTGTTGTAGAATATGGTGTTGTTGTTGTTGCTGTTGCTGCTGCTGCTGTTGTTTTTGTTGAGAAGGATCAAGGTAGGGCAATTCAATCAGTCCATTCTTTCCTTTATTGGTTGTCACTAATGTTCGTCGCACAATGGGTCGTAGTTTATACAGTGGAGGTTCAGGTGCGTTGACGCTTATACATTTGGGGCACAGCCATGTTTCTGGTATATCATCGCTGAATACACCTTCGCTGGTAGGAGTATCCACATGAGCAGACTAGAAGTAGGCAATGCTATTTGAGAAAGAGAAATTCTTTTTGATTTACATGAAAGCATGGCAAGTGGTGAATTTCCATACAACGTTCACATTCGTAGAGAATTTCTTCAGGTTTCAATTGGGATAGTTTTCGCGAGCCTTTCTTCTTCAAGCAAACTTGACATGATGCTGTTGATGGTAAGATTGGAGCAATACATTGTTTTGTCAGGCAGCATTGTTTCATTTTACCAACACCACCAAACTTTGGCATATCTTTGCAGTGTACACATTCGGAACAATCGTCTCGACAGCAGGGTTCACATTGTTTACACCTAGAAGATAAAGCACATATGCAAAAAGCACAAGGAACATCGAGAGATCGTTTTACCGAACACGTTTATGTCGATCTTTGGCAGTATTGTTCTTGTCGGTCTGGTAGTGTTGTTGAGTCGGAGATGTAGTTGGATTATATTGATTATAACTGTTGATATAGTGTTGTTGTTGCTGTTGCTGCTGCTGCTGCTGCTGTTGTTGTTGTTGTTGCTGCGAGGGTGAAGAGTAATAGTTTGATGAATTCGAACTAGCTAATGGACCACTCAAGAGAACCGTGGTCGAGGGATGCAATGTCACAACATTCGAGGTTGGCTGTTGCATTGCTAATGTTTCATATTGATGAGAAGGGTGAAGATGATGAAAAGATGGCTGTTGCATATCGTCGTCAACGGGATTTTTGCGTTTTATGCCTTGAAAAATCTCCGTTTCGTTCTAAGAGCAAGAGAGAGAGAGACAGTTACACACGATAAACGTTATATCATCAATAACGAGAAGAAAAAACACTCTGTCGACACACAGTGACTTTTGTAATAGTTTATTTAGAGCTCCGACTTTATGTACATGTGTCTATGGCTCTTGTTGTTTCTTAGCTTACTTGATTGCTATTTGGATCGAACGAATGGTGATGATGATGATGATGATGATTGTAGTTGTAATGGATCAGCGATTGACCAGTTATTGATAAATGAGGATCATCGGAAGCATGTTCAATGAGAAGACGCTAGATTATTTAAAAAAAAAAGACGCGTTCGATTAGATATTTATGTTAAAGTACAAGGTTGACAATAAATAGAATGAGAGGTCAAGTGAATTTGATGTGTAAATACCTATTGAGAGGATCTATAGACATTGTCATAGTTCTTTTTATTGATCGGATTTTTTAAATAAAATTATTTGAACAGATGAAATATTAACGAGAGAATTCTATGTGTACACTGGAGGTCAAATAACTAACCCCTTATAGAAATTTTTCGTACTTTCTCTCTTTAGTTGACATTACCTCCATTGATTCCAACAGTTGTTGTGGCTGAACAAGATCTTCCGGGATCGATTTGTCTTTTAATTTGCGTAAGAGAGCACATAATGTTTTCAAACCGTCTAGCTCAAATGTGGTCAGATGTGGATGCGTCTGTTCAGTATCTTTATTATTATTATTGTTCACTAGCAACAATTGACTTGTTCGACAAGGTTTCAAATCTAAAGACAGCAATCATATATATATATCGAAAAAATTGGGACAATAGGGCTTCCTATTTGTTGCTCATCATTTGAACAGAATAACAATAGACCTCTCGAAGTACGAAGAAGGATGATGAGTACTAATAAGGAAAGAAAGAAAATATCATAGTTATCGAGAGAGAAAGGATGCCTTGATTTACAAACATATGTCTACCTGTCTGTACTAATCGATTGCAATTATAAAGATTTTTTTGCAGAACTATAACTCCATACAACTAGAAATAAATCGAAGCAATGAACAAAGCGCAGAGGACAGACAGAGAGAGAGAGAGAGAGAGAGAAAAAAGACGACGAGTTTTTCCCTTTTTCGCTCCTATGCGTTCATTCATAAAAGATTTGAGTAATTTGCACACAGATTTCTTTTCTTCTGTCTCTCTCTCTCTCTCTCTCGTTTTTCTTTGAGTGATCAGAAGACAGCAATAGCATAGAAAAAAAGGGAAGGAAAATTTTGAACAAAGAACAAGGCACAAGCGCGCATTGTGTAGCGAGAACATATTATTATGATTGTGTGTGTGTGATTGCACAAGCGAGAGAAAGTGATTGACGAGTGAGAGAAAGGAACGAGAACGTCGAATGATCAGGTTGTAATAGCGGTAGTGTGTATTAATTATTCTCTTCTTTTCCTTCTAGTTTTTTTTTGTCATTTCAAATAAGAATTTCAAATTGATGGTCTTCACCTACTTCTCGAGATTTCCAAGTGCAATACATAGGCGCTACTTGAAAATTTATAATAAATATATGCGTAGTAGTTTGGCTAAGAGAAGAGAAGAAAGAGAGAGAGAGAGAAAATGAAAGATTTCATTTATTAATTAGCAAACACAAGCGTTTTCTTATTCTCTTCATCTGTTCCTTGACAAAGAGAAAATTAACAACAAAAATCAATGTTCTCATTGATGTTGATTCTTCTTTGATTTCTTTTCTTTTATTTACTAATGTGTAAGATTGTCAGATATGAGATAAACCAGAAGGGAAAGTGTTTTGGTTAA